GTGATTACTGTCAGCTGAGAGAGGAGAGGATGAATATGAGCATTTCACAGGGTACATATTGTTTCAAGGCCTTGCATTAGACACATCATTCACATTGCCCCTACTTCTTATGAAAATCTCAAGACTGTGTATTATTAGTCACACTTTACATCATGATGAGATAGAGGATCAGAAAGTTTAAATAATATTCTCAAGATGACACAACATATGAGTAGTGGGGTCAGAACTGAAATCCAAACCTGTCTACCACCACAGCTGATGACATACCTGGGTGTCATTTATGTGAATGTAATTCTTTTACAGGCTTCATGATGTGGATGCTTCCTGAGCAGAATCAAAGCTCAGTTTCTGAATTTATCCTACTTGGCTTCTCCAGTGACCCCATCTCCAACAGGATACTCTTTGTGGCCTTCCTTGTCCTGTACCTGAGTTCGATCCTGGGCAATGGGCTCATTATCACACTGATCTGCCTCGACTCACATCTCCACACTCCCATGTACTTCTTCCTCTGTATTCTCGCCATACTGGACGTGGGCTATGTCACCACCACCATGCCTCAGATGCTGGTGCACCTTCTTGCTCACTCTCAGACCATCTCTTTTGTTTGCTGTTGGCTGCAGATGTATGCGTTTGGTGCCCTGGCTCTGAGTGAGTGCATCTTCTTTGTGGTCATGGCCTATGACCGATATGTGGCCATTTGCTACCCATTGCGCTACACGGTTATACTCAGCTGGGGAATGTGCACACGACTGGCAACTGGGACCTGTGTTTGTGGTTTCTTCTTCTCTCTAATTCATACCTACTTCACAATGAGTTTGCCCTACTGTGGGCCCAACATCGTCAACCACTACTTCTGTGAAGGTCCCTCAGTACGAAGCTTAGCTTGCATGGATACCCACCTCATTGAGATGGCGGAACTGGTCTTCAGTGTGTTTGTGAATGTCACTCCAGGTTGCCTTATTCTGGCCTCTTATATCCGTATTGTCCAGGCCATTCTCAAGATCAAATCCACCAAAGGACGTTGCAAGGCCTTCTCTACCTGTGCTTCCCACCTGACTGTGGCCACATGCTTCTATGCTCCGGCTACATACATCTACCTTAGGCCCAACTCCAGCTACTCCCCTGAACGTGACAAGCAAATTGCACTCTTCTATAATGTTTTCACGGCACTGCTC